TCTCCATATTGACCTGTAAATTTGCTGCGCTTTATATCGCAAGGCGCTAAATGCGGGAGAAGGAGAGAGAGAGAGAGAGAGAGAGAGAGATTGGCGCTCTGATCACGACCGAGCTGCGCCGAGTCGTCCGCTCGCGCACCGAGTTGAGTCGTTCGTTTTATACTCTGCACTTTTAGTGGGCATTTTCAAAGTCCTGCCCCTGCCGCCTGCTACGTTCGCAAGTCCCCGCGACAGGCCGCCACCGAGCCGAGCACAGCCAAGCCCTTTCATGCAGATCCACCGCCAGTTCGAGATCAAACTCCAAAATAGCAAGCCTTTCCGCGACAAATTTGGAGAAAAATAAAAATAAATCGAAATGCGCGCTCTTCAGGGTATGCAGCGTGGCTCGGCTGATGAATGTCATCATCTGGGATTGGATCGGCGTTCAAATGAGCGTGGCGTGGCGTGGCGAGGCGTGGCGTGGCGTGGCTTATCGACACACGTGGGACATCATTCGGCCACGCGCCTGCCCAGGGCTCGCCCGCGGCCACCAGAGGGCAGCGCAGCTGTTAAACGTTATTGGCAGCGCGCGCTAGTGTGCTTGTGTGTGTGTGTGCGTGTGCATGCATGCGTGTGTGTGAGTGTGTGTCCGGCAGCTGTACGCGCGTTTACTGCTGTCACCGTTATTTTCAGGCGCCACTACTGCCGCACTTACATCACACCGACGACGCGGCGCGCACCTCCCTGGTGTTTACGACGGCGTGCGTGTGTGTGTGTGTTTGTGTGAGTGTTTGTGCCTAAGGGCCCATTCGGCAGGGCTAGTGGGACGCGGTGGAACGGCCCATGTCAGCTAGGCGGCGCGTGTGTCACCATACTACGACTATAGCGTCGCCAGAAACATTCATGATCTGCAGTGATAAGGCGTCACACACACACACAGAAAGACAAACGCGGTTAAAAACAAAAATCAGAGCGCGCCCCTGCGAGTCATAACCCGGCACGGCGCGTTCGTTACGATACTGCTGAAAATTGGGCCAGCGCCGCCCCGGGCTTCGGACCTGCCGTATCAGTGCGGGGACTCGAACCGGGTATAAATAATAAACTGTAAAAACGCGTGGCTCTTCCCGATCTGTCTCCCGCTGGGCCGGTCTCGGCCGGTCGGGCGGCCCCTCCCCCGGCCACTCGCTCGAGCGAGGCTGCGCGCTGCGCGGCGAGCGCCTGCGATGCTGGGCCAGCCCGCCGGCCGGCCGTGTGCTGCAGTGTGGCCTACCGCCGGTTCGCAGGCGCACTGGCAGGCAGCCCCGCAGCTGCGCGATGATTAAAAAGACGTTTTCCAGCCGCTGGGCAGCGGACGCCACCGACTTCCACCGGACCTCGGCGTCATCAGGGGTGGCCACGGCCGGCGACCACCCCGTGTGTGAGCACTTCACATTAAAAGGCGACACAGTCGCGCGGGAAGCGAAAGCAAAGCGGAAGAAAAAAAATCCGGAAAAGGCAATATTCATTTAAAGTAATGTGGCTGGGAAAATGATGATGCGGTGTGGGTGGCCGTGGCGACGGCGGCACACTGTCACACCTGCCGGCAACAGCAACAAGTCCACGCGCCGCGGAGCTAATGGGGAGCCGCAACGGAAGAGCCCTACCGCGACTCTTTGACGCGCGACAGCGTTTTTGTGTTGTTTTTATTTCACTCGGCGCGGGCGTGCGCCAGGGCCGTGTCGGGGAGGACGTGTAAAACGTCGTGTACTCACGCGCCGCCAGTGGCGTGGCCGCGGACGGTTACGCGGAGCACCAAAGTCCAACCCACGTGGGAAGCGACGCAAGTCAAAGTCAGCAATCGACGCATTTTCAGGGATTTCTGGACTTTTAGAGTTAATCTCTTTTTACATATTTGCTTGGTAGTGTGGTAGACGACGCTAATTGCAGAACGAGGCGATAAATGCGGCGAGGTGTCGGAGCGCACCGCGTGAGCCAGGGCGTGAGCCCCGTCAAGTTGGCTGCACTGCCACGCGTCAGCGCGAACGTCATCAGGGGAGTGAAGGGCGCGAAGGCGAGGCGCGCTCTCCACTGTAAAGTCTCGCTGCGCTGCTGCGCGGGAAGGGAATACACTCGCAAAGCGCGCAAAGCGCGCAAAGCCTCCCCATCCGATTTCCGCGGCCGCCTCGCCGCCTGACACCACGAGCCCCGCGCCACCACCACGGCGGCGATCTCACTAATTTCGCTCTCGTAAAACCCGGTGAGTGACAGGCGGGCGGGGCGGGGCGGGGGCGGGGCGGGGCGGGCGGGGCGGGGCAGGGCGGGGCGGGGCGCGGTCCATGGCTGGCGCCTGATAAGCCCCGTGGCCATCATGTGAGTCTCGGGGACGACCGCCACTTCGCGAACGTGTCCCCCAGGAAACGCGCCTCTCACACCCACAGTGGACGTGCACGCGCACACACTGTAGCAAAAAAGAAAAATAATTACTCTCAAAAATATTATTTCTCGCAAAAAGTTTGTTTTTGGTGAGCGTGCGTTTGCGTCGGACCGTGACATGACCGACCTGGCCCGAGCGTTGTAAACAGTGCGGTGTCCGTGTGTCTCTGTGTGAGTGTGCATGTGTGCAGCGGTGAAGCGCATCCCGAAACACCGGGGCCTTGTACCCGGGCAGGCGCGTGTAAAATACGAAATGTAAAATGCAGGGCCGGAGGGGTGAGGGGGGCCGGGGGTAAGATGGAGTAATTTGTCGGCGCGTTCCCGCGGGGCTTGGCGTGGCCCGGCGTGGCCCGGCTTGCGGGGGCGCCATGGCGTCCGCTGCACTTGCCGCGCTTATTCCCTTATTTGCTAATGAAGGACAGAGCAGCGCCCTTCCACACCAGCAGCCCGAACACGCCGCGCTCCGTCTCTCTCGCACTCGTGGAGGCGCCCGTCGGTGCGAGAGAGACAGCCCCGTTCATCCGCCAGCCTGCCGCTCGCTGTGAGCAGGGCTCCCCTCAATGAAACAAATTTTTTTCGCGTCTCTTTTCACAAAAGGCCCGTGAATTCGTGCATTGTTGGGCCCGGGGACCGCGCTGGAGGCGGATGGGGGCGGCCGGGGGCGGCCAGGGTCGTAACTCGGTGCAAGCCGCCGTGGTCAGGGACGGCGTCGTGGTCAGGGTGGACCCAGCGCCGCCAACCTCAACCAGCACAACTTCCTGCCAAGCCCTACCGACCAAGGGACCCTTTGTCGGTTGAAAAACAACACATCAAAATTCGCTACAGCAAAGATACGAAAAAAAAAGCCTTCTTTTTAAATTACTTTAAAAACTGCTTAATTTTTGCGAGTCTCGCGATTAGCCATGCATGCTGCACGGTGGTTGGCAAGCCTGGCAAGCCGAGCAGCCCCGGCCAGCCTGCCAGGCCCAACACGCCTGCGCCCCGTAAATACACCGAGTGGTTGGCACCCTTGTTACATAATTAAGCGCGGCTGGCATTACATGTTTACACGGCCGTTTTACTGCAGGGGCCCTACGTGCAACGACGCGCGCGGACGGACGTGCAAATTGCACCGCGCCAAAAGTGGACCAGTTCATCAAGCAAACTTTTTTTTTTTTCGTCGTTTTCGCTTTTGCTAGGAGGACGCGGTGTGCGTGCCCGGTGGCACAGCCTCATCAAGTGAGGTACACACACCAGTTGTCGCGAAAATTCGACTCCACGGCGTCCACGCCGCCGGAGGGGGCCCCAAAAAGGGAGCGGGCACGGTTAGTTGCACCGCAGAGATGAAAACGGTGCGGTCAACGAGGATCGTATGACTCAAACAAAACAAAAGCGGCAGAGAGGGCCGCGGATACCGCGACACACACAGAGGACGCGCAAAAAATAATCAAGGAAAGCATGAGCAGTGGTCAGTCAGGCGTCCCAACATTAGAGGACCTTTGGAAAAAAATGTCCGAGTCCGGGGCGGTGCGGACTGCAGGGTTAATGACTGTCCACCCCTTCCATTGTGTCTCCGGGGAGACGGGCCGCGGCCAGCGCGAGCAAAGCGTGAGCTGGCGGCAGTAAAGTGGGATTTTTATTCGGCCAGCATTCGGGGGAGAAAGAGGAGCCGCCGTGGAGGCCATGTGTGGCGTGTGGTCCGGGAAGGACTTTTTTCGGGGTCCGCGTTGCCACTAAGTTGCCGCGATGTGGTCTGCCAAGAGGGTCAGCCGCCCACACCCAGTAGAACTGCCAAACAAAAAAAAAAAAAACAGCATCAAAATTTAGCAAAAAAAAAAATAAACAACATAAACAAAAGTTAACTTTTTTATTTTTGAACTTTGAAAAAATTCCACGCTGTTCTTTTTACTCTTTTTAATTTTCGGACCCGTATGACAGCCACCCCTTTGCTCTTTTATGTCACCCCGCCGTCGTTGTTTTGCAGTGGGTGCGTTCGCAATAACGAGGTTCGCTTCACCTTCGTCTCTTCGACACAGGAAGTGCTTGGCGGAGGACGTCGGCCACCTCGGCCACGCACTCGGCCTGCCTTGGCCCCGCTCTCCCTTCGACGCTCGGCTTTCGGCTCCAGGATCCCGTCGGCGGAGGTCAGGATTCCACGCGGTCACTGGAGGATGACTGAGGAAGGTCCTGGACGCCGCGCCGCCGCGTCGCCGGAACGCGGAGCGGGAAAAAACGGAGGCAGTGGCGTGACGGACCCGCCGTGAAAGGATTACCGAAATCGTTCGTTCGACTTGGGGATCCTGCATGTAACATTTTTGAAACATTCGGCGCTGATTGTAGATTTTAGTTTAGAACTGAGACCGCTGCCGGCACTGCATCGCGTCTCCGACAAACAGAGCAGGCCGTGTCCGATACCGGTCAATGCCACCCCGCCGGCCGCGTCCTGTCGAAACCTCTCCCGCCCCCTCCAGGCCGCCCCCGCCGCCCCCACCAGCCCCGCGGTATAAGAGCGCGGGGGTCGTTGGAGGGGCGTCATTCTTCGTCACTCCGTCGACATGCTGTGGTTGTGCGCGCTGTCCGCGGCGCTAGTGTCCGTTGCGGTGCCCGCCGGGGGCGCCGCCGTCGCCAACATGACGGCCGCCAAGATGGTAGCGGCCGCCGCGGTGCCCGTGGCCGCGGCCGCGACGCCGGCCATCGCCAAGGTGCAGCTGAACCCCGCCGCTCCAGGCAAGTGTACAAGACGGCGGCGCCGCAGAAGGGCGACCACACCGCCGCCGCGGCGCAGATCGGCTTCTACAAGGTGGACGCCGAGGCCGCCGGCGTGCCCACCGGGCTGCGCGGCGCCGCGCTCAAGCAGCGCCAGCCGCCGAAGGACGGCCGCAGCGCCGACCTGCGGAAGAACTCACGGCCCAGCGCCGCCTTCTACGAGGAGGACGCCGAGGAGCTGGACGAGGACGACCTGAAGGGCAAGGGCCGCGGTCGGCAAGGTTCGCGTCGACCACCCGCCGAGGAGGACGCCAGGCAGCACGGCCGCGGAGGCTACAAACCCTTCGGTGGCGGCGAGGTGGCGCCCAGGAAGCAGCAGCCGCCCAAGCCGCAGCACGAAGACGACCACGACGAGGAGAGCGCGGATTTTGGCGAGACTTCGAGCGCTGGTGATGGCGATGGAGGCGGGAGCAGCAGTGGTAGCTACAGCAGCGGCAGCAGCAGCGGCAGCGGCAGCGCTGACGACCACGACGACTATCGGGGCGCTGAGGAGGAAGGCGACCACGGCCACCACGAAGACGGCGCGGGTGCGCACGATGGCGGTGAAGCCCACGACGGCGCCGCGTACAAGGAGGACGACCACCACGACGACCACCAGCCGGAGTCCATCAACGACAAGCTGAAGAGCGTGGCCAAGCCCGACGACGACCACGTGGAGGACGCGCACCACGACGGCGGCGCCGCCGCCAAGCTGAGTGACCACGAGGAGCACGGCGCCAGCCCCAGCACCAGCGCCAGCACGGACAGCAAGAGCGCCGACTACCACCACCACCGCGGCCCCAGCCACTTCTCCAAGGGCGGTGAGAAGAAGCACAAGGCCGAGCATCACTCGGCCGTCGGCTCCAAGGGCTCCAAGGGCTACAAGAAGAAGGAGGCCCACGACAGCGCCGAGGCCGGCAAGCACGGCGAGGAGTCCCACAAGGCGCACACCCAGGCCAAGAAGGGCCACAAGAAGGCGCACCTGGACCAGGACGGCAAGTACGCCGAGAAGCACGAGTCGGAGAAGGGCAAGACGGGCGCCGAGTTCGACGACAAGGGGAAGCACAAGAAGGGCCACTCCACCAAGGGCTTCCGCACCGTGCACCGCAAGGACGAGTTCAAGAAGGACGAGACCTTCTACGACGAGTCCGACAACCAAGGCCACCACGCCAAGAAGGGCGCCGTCGAGAAGCACCACCACGGCAAGAAGGGCGAGAAGCACGAGAAGAAGCACCTGGACGCCAAGCACGACGTGGCCAAGACCGCCAAGGAGGGCGAGAAGGGCCACGGCAAGCAGACGCACTCCAAGAAGGGCCACAAGGCCGAGGAGCGCGACGAGGCCAAGCACCAGCACGCCGCCAAGACGGCCAAGGAGTCCGGTGCCAAGTCCGCGCACAAGGCCGTGCACGCCAAGAAGGGCCACGACGACTACTAGGCCGGGCATTGGAAGCCCACGGGGCAGGCCGTCCGACTAGGCGACTTTGAAGCAATTTGACGACCTGCCACGTGAGCTTCACCACACCGTTCTTGTTTTAAAACTTTGTTGTGCTTTTTTTTTCGCGACAGCCATAGTTTCGATTCCCTTTCTTTGTTCGCCAAGATTGATAACGCTGCGATCCGTGCAAAATTCCCTCCAGTTTAAACTCTTCCACTTCGGAGTCCGTCGCCAAATCCGTGTCGGGGTGAGGGACCTGGGCGCGCCTGGGCGGCATTCGCGGCATTGTCCACCTCGAAACACGTTATCGAAGACGAATCGCGATTGCGGTATCAATCGACTCGGGGCGTCGCGCTCCACTGGCTGCCAGACCGCGGCAGCGCGGCGCTGGACCGCGAACCTCACCGCGAGGGAGGGGGGAGGGGGAGGGGCGTCGTCCCCAGGGCGCCGTGAAGGTTACCTCTTTATCACATTACCGGCCTCGCTTTCCTTTCGGAGGGTCAGACTTTGTTTCTCATCTAGTCCATTGTTGTTGTTGATGTTGTTGTTGTTTTCACAGGTGTTAAACCGAAGTGTTCGGTGCCGCTTCACCCCACCGCAGCGCTTGCACTGTACCTACTCTGTGTCAGAGTAGTGCGGTAGTTGCGGTGAATCTTTTTTGTTCTTGTTATGTTGTTGTTGTTTCGTGCCGATTCTTACTGTTGTTGTTCTTTCCTGGCACCTTTTGTATAATAAACCGTGAGCTTATAAAGTCGCTTATCATTCATCCTAGAGGATAGAGTACCTCCTCTCTTTTTTTCCTACTCGACTTGCACCGACTCGCGTGCAATCACTCATCCTGCTGATGAGGTGGACGTTCGAACAATCATGCAGTCATGCACGCATTCGGTTTATATGCCGCATGACGCTCACGCACACACACACACACACCCGTGCCCCTCGCCTGCCTCTATACTCGCGTCTCCGTCACTCACACACCCACACAAGTAAATACACTCACATACACACCCACATACACACACATCGCGTTATCAGGATTGTCTATCTGATTGAGTTCTGCCCGGGCAAGGGTAGGTCTACTCCGTCCACCCCCACGCCGCCTCTCCCTCTGCTCTCTCTCTCTCCCTCCCTCTCTCTCCCCTCCGCGCGTCCGGCACCCCCTCCACCTGCACCCCACCCCTCGTATGTGGTGCACGTGCAGCGCTTCTCATCACAGAAGCATTTTGCTTCCCCATTCCACTTTTTTCCGTCCGCGTTACCCGTATGGCCGCCAGAGGGCGTCGCGATCGTCCGCGTGCGCGGGGGGGGGGAGGGGAGGGGAGGGGAAGTACCCGCGGGTAGCCGGCATTTCAGTCGGCGCGCTCTCGGCACCGAAAGTAAGTGAAATGGCTCCCGGACCTGGGGGAGGGCTTAGCAGTAATCCCGACAGTGGCGCGCCGCTCGCGGGCGGGCTTCCCAGCCGTGCTCTGGCGCGAGTTTTGAACACAAAACCGCAGCCTGCTTTATTTCCGAGAGTTATTGTTGTAAAATCTGGCAGCGCTCGTCTCGCCGCGGTCCTGGGCCTCACATATATCATCCGTGCTTAATGAGAGGTGAGGCCCGGAGGCCGCGAGGGCCGAGGCCGCGCCGCCCTAGCCGCGCGGTTTCGGCCTCGTCCACAAAAACAGAGGCGGGCAATTCAGCACGCTGATTGGCGACGGACAATGGCAACGTCGGTGCGGTCCGGCCGGGCACGGACTAATCCGACAGTTAGATAGGATTACTCAGCAACATCAAAACACGGACGCGGGGCGCAAGCGACGCAAGCGGACGTAAAATGGAAATGCCGGCCAGGTGAACACCGCACGCACGGATCACGCACAGCGACGGCCTGTCCTCCAGACATCCCCGGGTTCGAATCCCCCAGCGTTTTATGTTTTTTTTTTTTCGTTCTGGGTGGCGCCGCGGAAGGGTGGCGGCAGCTGTTGACGCTCATCCATATTCATCCACTTGCTGACCAGCGATGCCCAGCGACGCCCAGCGACGCGCACCCCCTGCCCTGGCCGACGCCTGGCCGTGCCTGGCGCTTGCCTGGCCGTGACGGCGCGGCGCTTCAAGACTGCAGGTTGGCTGTCTCACTCGCACCCACAGGAGCAGCCCATGAGTGCGACAGAGGCAGCGAATGGGGTGGTTGAAGGCCGACGCGATGCTCGTTTGCTTGTCGCAGCGCCCTGCGGTCTGCTTGGCGTCGAGCGGCGTCGTGCTCTAGTATTCTTAGGACCCCACTTTTTCATGCCCCACCTGGGGAAGGCTTTGACCGCAGCTAGTTTGAGAGCAGAAGCATCGCAAAAATCACCCTAAAGTGATTGGATCCTGAAAAGTAGCCGTTTTTGCTGACTTTGGGCGGCCACTGCATCCAATCTAGCTGCGGTCAAAGGCTTCCCTCAACGCCCTAGTGTTCTTAAGACCCCTCTCTTTCATGCCCTGACTCGGGAAGGCTTTGACCGCAGCTAGTTTGAGAGCAGTAGCATCGCAAAAATCACCTAAAGTGATTGAATCCTGAAAATTACCCTTTTTTGCTGACTTTGGCCGGCTACTGCGTCCAATCTAGCTGCGGTCAAAGGCTTCCCTCAACGCCCTAGTGTTCTTAAGACCCCTCTCTTTCATGCCCTGACTCGGGAAGGCTTTGACCGCAGCTAGTTCGGGAGCAGTAGCCTCGCAAAAACGTTAAAATTGATTAAATCTCAGAAAGTATAGCCGTTTTTGCTGACTTTGGGCGGCCAATGCATCCAATCTAGCTGCTGTAAAAGGCCTCCCTCAACGCCCTGGTATTCTTGAGACCCCTCTCTTTCATGCCTTTAATCGGGAAGGCTTTGACCGCAGCTAGTTTGGGAGCAGTGGCCTCGCAAAAATGGTCAAAAAGTGGTTGAAACTCAAAAAGGTGATTGAGATTTTATCGGATTACGTTGATTATTAAGACCTGATGAGTTGGCTAACCCTTGTCAATACCCACCAGGCCTAGGCCCGCGACGACGCAACAGACACGGTGTCGATTTCATGGTCGGCGTGCATGTGCTTCCTTGTAACACACGCCGTCGGCCTACCGCCACCCCCGCGCGGTCGGCCACCCCCGTCCCTCGCACCCCAGCAGGCTGATGCCGAACCAACCAACGCCGCTCTGTCTCTCTCGCACTCGTGCGGTGGGCCGTAAGGGTGCGAGAGAGACAGAGCGATCGTGCGGAATCACCCTGCTGCGCGGCCACCACCCGCACACAGATCATTTAATTGGAGGTTTCCTGAGGCAAAGCAACTCATTGCTATTCGTGCGGCCTTCCGTGCAGCAGGCGCCGCATCGCGCGACGAGCCGCGGCCCCGCGGCCGGTGGCGGCGTGTCTGGCCATCAAATGGAAATGTTGCACCTGCCGTTTGCTGCGCCACTGCAAGCGCCAGCGCCAAACACGCGAGGGTCAAGTGCCAGATCAAATCACGTCGCAAACCATGGTTCAGCGCGCGTAGAATCATTTTCTAAAAAGCAAAACAGTAGTTTCAAAAAAGTTTTTGATTTTTTTTACCCCCATTTAGTATTTTCTAAAAGACGTTAAAAAATTAAGTTTTTTGAAATTTTTTCCATTTTAGTCAAACCCATTTTCTCAAAAATCTAATCCTTTCTTGAAAAGTTTCTTTCTTTTTTTCTTGTTGTCGGCCTGGCACAGTCGTGAGAAGCTTGTCCGGCTCGAGCCCCTTGCCCCGAGAGGTCCCTTGACCGGCCACGGTCCACCGCTACTGCGTCCAATAAACAGCTTTATGATAAAATACGCGGACAGATAAGTGAAGCCAGAACCCCGGTGCCGTGCGCCCCGCCGCGCACCCGCCGCCCTGTCCCGCCCTGCCCCCGATCTTAGGCAAATGCTCGGGAAGTGCAATATGCTGTAGTGGCGGGCGTCGGCGGGCGGTGCCGGGCAAGGGTGCAGGCAGGGCCAGGCAGGGAAAAGAGCAGAAGACGCGCGCGGCGGCCTCGGGAGACTCTTCTTTCAACAGTATTCAGTTTGGTATCGGACTGGGGTGGAAGGCCGACCGGGACGGCCGGACCCACATGGCCCTCGACCACCGCGCTCCATAACACGCCACCGTCCGGAGGAAAGGTTATTGAATCATAGTCCCCTGGGCCCGACTGCCCCTTCGCCTCGCCAAATTCATCTCTGTCGAACTGGATCGAGGTGGACTCGAACCCGGGTCCGCGCCGCTGAGACAATGCGCGCCTTTTTGAGCCTTCCGTCCGCTGACCGCCAGGCCGGCAGTGCGCGCGGCTTTTAGCGGAGCACTCGACGAACAAAGATCAAACGAGGAGCTCTTTGCTTTGCGACAGCTCGCTGGCACACTCACGAGCTCCGTCTCTCTCGCACCCACGGAACGGCCAAGACCGCGTCAGAGCGACCAAACGACTGTACGGCATCGGTCTGGGGTCAGCGCCTCCCTGTCGCCGTGCTTGCTGACGCCGGGCTGCCGACTGGACGGAGTCTGGATGGCTTGCGGAAGCGGTGCCTCACACCCGTCCAGGGCGTCCACGGCCATTGCGACGTCCTGCACCTCCTCCCTTAAACTGCCGCCTTTTTTTTCCACCGCTGTTTTTTATTCATTGGAGCAATTCCGAGCCGTGCAGCTCATTTGAGCGTTTGTCTTGTGTGGAATCTAACGATTATGGTTTCCTCGGCAGGCAATTTTTGAGACAAATCGCCGGCCCGTTTGAGGCGGATCGTGGAGGAGGGTCGCGACCACAGCGATCCTGGAGGACGTTGTCGGGGCGGGGCGGGGCGGGGCGGCGGAGCCCAGGGGGCGTCGCGCTCCATTGCGCCACTCATTTTTGAGGACGGCCGACTGGCCGAAAAGACGATCGCCTGCGTTTCCTGCTCTGGGTTCAATTCCCCAAAAAACCACGCAAAAACAAACATCCTCGAGCGAAAAAAAGTGCTAAGACAATGCCGGGATTTGAACCCGCGTTTTGCGCTGTGCGGGAAGGCGGC